ATTGGATGTTATTATAGATGAAGGGCTCGTTTACTTTGAGGGATGGGATAAGACTAAATAATCGGGTTACCTTTACATGTCAGCATTTAGTCCCACGTTTACTTTAAGGGATGGGATAAGACTATGGTGTGTTTAGTAATTAAATCAACTTTGAGGGGTACAATGGTCCATTTGCATCCAGTTTTGAGGACAAAAAAGTCTTGAACAGTGCATGATTAATTAATCACCTCTTCTTGGTGGTATGAAAATAATCGGCCAACACATTATCTCCACGTGGGCCCCGCCGCCACATGTGATTCCAACTTATATAATCCTGTCCCAATCAATTAATGTAAACAAGTGATATTGAGGGATCTACCCTCAAAGTAAACGAGCCCGAAATATATAAACTTATTAACTAGGCCATTATGTTATGAAAATTGTAATTTATATTTGGACTTACTGAATATTGGTTTTATTTTTTTTTAAAAAAAAAGACATTTTTCTTATAGCAGACTAATAGTCTTTTTAAAACACAACAACATCATCTCTAAATTTTTTAGTTGGAAAATATTAAATAAAATTTCACAATGTGTTAGGACTAAGAGGGTGAATTGAGAACTAATATTTATAAGTATTTTTCGGCAAAATTTCAAAATTGGTCCTATAACTTGGCCACTGTCCAAAAAATCACCCCGATATTGACCACTTTCAATTTAGGTCCTACAATTTGTCGATTTCATCAATTTTGGTCATTTTTTATCCGCCCCTGGATTACAAAGTGACATGGCATGACGTGTCAGTTTTTCAATGTTACATGGCGTGATTATGATCTACGTGGCACGCCAATTTTGGTCCTATAATTTGACGATTTCATCGATTTTGGTCCTTTTTTCATGCCACGTCACTTTTTAATCCAGGATGCGGATAAAAAAGGACCAAAATTGATGAAATCGACAAATTATAGAACCTAAATTGAAAGTGGTCAATATCGGGGTGGTTTTTTGGACAGTGGCCAAATTATAGGACCAATTTTGAAATTTTCCCGTATTTTTCAAAATGTAAAATCTCATGCAAGTTATTTTTTGGAACTAAATTGACATGCTTCAAAATTTTTATAATTTATAAACATTATATTTAATTTAACATTTATTGTGCAATTAATTGATGTGAATTTGTGTTCAAAAGTAAATAAATTATAAAAAAAATTATCGAAATCTATTCATCAATTTACATGTACGTTGGAGTAAAAATTGTCTGCTATAGTTGCATTTCCTTTGTCAAACATTGCCTTAGTAAATTTTATTTATATAATTCAATATCTTTGCAACGAATATCTTAATGCATATTTCAAGAAGTTTAATTAGCTTCCCTTTCTAAGTAATATTCAGCCCAAATAGCTCGATATGTTATTGACTTGATGAATAATGGTGATATTGAAGAATTTTCTCTTAATTCAACAAAAAACTAAAAACACAATTTTAAAGTATAAAAAGTGAAATTCTCGCAGCATAAATTCTTTTTGTTCTACAATTATCCTTGACGTTTTCCAATTCAAGACTACTATTTAAATTCCAACGATGATAATTTTTATTATGTTGCCTTAGGCAATCCGAGTTGATAAAGTCAACTACTGTTGTTATATGTGATATTTTTGTTCAAAAACATGCACTTAGTCATAAAAAAAGATTAATATTTCAATGGCAATAGTGATCATAATAAACTCGGTTGGCCTACAACTAATATTATATATATAATTATTTCAAATGTCTAATAAGTGACATTATTGTAAACAAATTGTGATTTGTTTAAATTATATTTCATCAGTATATTTAACATCATACCGCGCAACGCGTGGGTGTCGTACTAGTATAATTGGAATGGATGTTGTTTTGTACCAACAGTTTTTGCATAGTATACTTGGAAACATTTAACAAACACGCACCAAAGATAATTACAGACTCAGTTTGCTCATGTTAAATTCTCAACATTTATGTAAGGACTAAGTATACCTAAGTGACCAAAAGTTGATTGCTCTTATGGGAAATGAGGATAAGCCAACAATTTACATTTTTTCATTGTTGAGTGGAAAATGTAAAATATGGTATGTTCATAGTTTGTATTTTTAGGATACGCAAGTAGTGATTATGTTGGGAATTACTTTTCATCCTCGTGTCCTGTATTTTACATAGCAGAAGTTGGTCATCAGCTAGTGTACTGAATTCAGTGGTTAGTTTATTTTATATGATAAAAATTATAATGTGTTTTATATAATGATTTAATGTGCAATATTTTATATAATAATGAAAAATTTTAGTCTCACTTTTTACCTTTTACCATTTTACGTTTGCAGGAATATACCCATCGTCGAGTGTTCCATGACAATGCTTAAATATTTCAAGAATTTATCATGTACGAAAGATATACTAGTGATCATCATGTTGTAATTCCAAGAAGATTCTTCCAGGTTTTGTTATGGTGATTGTGGTGTCATTTGACATCTTTGTGTACTCTTTTTTTGAGTAATTACTATAATTATAGTATTCG